CACCCCCCGCCCCGGGGGATGAAAAACAGAAATGTGGGTGAAGGGAGACAGCGGACTGTAAAATATGAAAATTAAAATAATTTTTAAGGGTTCACCAGGAATGGGGGGTGGGGAAGAGGAGCTAATACCAAGGGTTCAAGTAGAAAGAAAATGTTTTGGAACTGACGATGGCAATATTTGTACAAATGTGCTGGATACAATTGATTGTTTTAAGAGGTGTAAGAGCTCCCAGTAAAATGCTTTGTTAAAATTAAAACAAAAAGAACGCTTGCCTGCTGGAAATGGGAGGTCAGGAGTCAGCCGGTAGAATGCCCTTCCCTGACGTGCCCGCAGTGATCAAGCTGGTCTCCGGCTGGAACGTGGAGGTGCTAGAGCGCGGAGAGGTGCGCCTGTGGCTGGAAGTGGAGAAGCTGTCGCCGGCCGCCGAGCTGCACCTCATCTTCAATGAGAAGGAGATCTTCAGCTCCCCGGTAACTGCACGCTCCCAGCGGAGGTTTCGGGGTCCGGGGCTGGCCTCTCGGGCAGTGGGGCTCCACGGCCCGTACCTTACCCTGGCCGGCCCTGCAGGCGCGGCTAAGGGGCGCAGGTTGCCACGGGGACCGTGTGGGGACTCATTAGATGCCACCCTGCGAAGGACACTCCAACAATTTCCCACGCGTCCCTCCAGCTTCTGATTGTCCAGTCCAAAACTCTTTATTAGGACTAGTACTTATTACGGTGGAAATATACCCACCGAAACGCTCGCCAGCCCACATTTACAATTCAGTGGCCTGCACTACAATGTCCGTGTCATAAATGCAGGTGGTAAAGTGTGCATCAGAAAGCGTGTGCTGGCCTGGCAGTTGGGGGAAAGAGCTAGGGTCTAGAAACAGGGGTCCTCAAACATTTTAAACAGGGGGCCAGTTCACTGTCCCCTCAGACCATTGGAGGGCCAGACTATTGTTAAAAAAAAAAACTATGAACAAATTCCTATGCTCACTGCACATATCTTATTTTGAAGTAAAATAACAAACGGGGCAAAAACACCTGACGGGCCAGATAAATGTCCTTGGTGGGCTGCATGTGGCCCGCGGGCTGTAGTTTGAGGACCCCTGAAGTCAGAAGGTTAATACCCAGCCCCTGTCCATCATGTGAACACAGAAAGGGTTCTTCATCTCTCTGTGCCTCGGTTTCTGCGTCTGTATAGTGGGATCGCCGTCCCTGGATCGATGGGAACAAATGAGAAAATGCATGTGAAAGGTCTGTGCAAATAGTAAGCATGATCTTAGCGCGACACAGTTTGCGTGACAGAGGATGAACTCTAGTCACAGAGCTGGGACAGTTGGTGGTGGCTACACACAGTAACGTGGCTCCTTCCAATCATCCCTAAAATAAACCGAGCGGGAGTATGGACCTCACTGTGGAAACTAACACGTTTCAAACTGCTAGAAGGACAGACAGGAACAGCGCGCTGAAGGAGGAGTTCTGAAGCAGACAAAGAAGGTCGGTACCATCGACCACACCAAGCATCTTCAAGCTGGTTGATGCCAAAGACATTAGCATTTTTGGAAAGTCCCCAGGCATTCCAAGAAACAGCCAGTTTGAGGACCACTGCCCCGGAGAGTGAAACGAATGTTAAAGTGAGGAATTGACTGGAAAAAGACAAAGAACAGGAAGACAGAATGCTGCCCGTTTTGGAACTCCTACCAATGGATCCCACCACGCGTCTGTCAGCGTGTCGTCCTGTGGGACTCTGTGTGTTGCCGTGGTGCTGGAAGCTATGTCACTGCTATTTCAAATACCAGCAGCGCCCCCCCCCCCCAAAGGAATGGGTTTCCGCGGGGCTTCCAGACCAAGCACAGATGCGGAAGAAAGACTAGGCTGTCCACTTGGGAGGAATTAGCCACTGAAACCCTTTGCGTGGCATCAGAGCGCTGTCGGGTACTGAAAAGCTGGGGGACAGATGGGGATGGAGCCTGTCAGAAGCCGTGGGAGGCGCAGCCCCTGCAGGAGCACAGCCTTCCTTCTGGACCTTCATGTGCTGCTGGGGCAGCACTCGCAGTGAGAAGGGACTGCAAGCATCCACGAGCCGTCAGAACCGAGAAGGCACAAAGTTCGGTCTTCTGTGTGTTGGTGAGCTGAAACGGACAGTAACCTATTACGAGGAAGGTGCGCAGACCTAGAGTTAGAAACCCGAAAAGGAAGGACGGACTCAGCCTCTCTGAAACGGAAAGAACTCAAGAAAAATACTCAGATGAAAAAACTAAACTAGTCAAAGACTCGAGAGGCAAAATATTGAAGGATGCAGGAAACATCAAAAGAAGGTGGAAAGAATGCACCGCGACACTGTCCCCACCAGCACTGGTTGTCAACGGGCCACCGTGGCAGCCTATGAGCAAGAACCAATGGTGCTGAAGGAAGACTTCCAAGCTGCCCTGAAACCACGAGCCAAAAGCAAGCCTCCAGGGATTGCTAGGATACCGATGGGAATGTTGCAGCAAGCTGAGGAAGCCCTGGCAGCAGGGCCGCCCTCATCGGTGGTACCGTGGAGGGGCAGCAAGGAAGAAGGGCCTCCACAGGGTGAATTGACACCAGAGCTGCGAGGGTGGGCTCACACCCAAGGACCATTGTGAGGACGGTGCAGGACCGGGCAGCACTTTATTGTGCTGTGCACGGGGTCACTGTGGGCCAGAGCTGATTGGATGGCATCTGACAACAGCAACAACAGCAATAAACTGAGAAGAAAAACAAGCAGCAATAGGAAAAACCTGGTAAAAGGAGATGAAGAACCAGCGTACAGAATGGGAACGCCGCCTGACTTTGCTCGGTACCGGGAGTGCACACGAAAAGTCTGTCACTATCTGGTGCTGACACAAGAGTGTTCACACTCAGGAGAGTGTTCCGATTGGTACAGCCATTTTGGAAAACTCTCACACCATGGCAAGAAAGGCCCAAACTCGCCTGCCGTCTTCAGCAATTCCACATCAGCTCTATGCCCTAAAAGAACATCTAAAGATCTGTCCCAGGTGTCCCTGCAGCTATATTTGTAATAGCAAGAAAAGAAAAGGCATCCTGTAAATATCCATCTTAGGGAATTGGTGAAACAAATACATAGTTGTAAAATGGACTTATTATTCTGTCATGAAAACTGGATGGGTTGCATTTCGACATTTGAACATGGGAAGATGCAAAAGCATCATGTTTGAAAGAAAAAAGCAAGTTAAAAAATAAATCGTATGACCCTATTTACAGCAATCGTAAAAAATGTAGGAAGGCATGCATATCTTGTTTATGGATCCCGTGTTTGTCCTAAGAATATAAAAACATGAGTCAGGTGCTCACCAAAAGGGGATGCCCCTTGGGGAGGAGACAAGGCAACCATAGTGGAGAGAAGAGGAAATTGAGGACTTCCACTGGATCTACCAACTTCTCCCCCTCCACCCTCCACGTCCCCTCCTCTCCCTTCCTCTCCCCCACTCCTTCCCTTCCTCCCGCCC